GCTTAGTTCACAAGTTTAGAATCAGTGTTCACTGGATCAGCATTTCTCTTGTTTAGAGAAGCGTCTGAGATTTCTTTCGCATGAGCAAAAATGCTTATGTCAAATCATCAATTTGAATTCCAGCTTTTCCTTAAAAATCTTGGATGTCTCGGACCGGCAAATTTGGTCCTATACTTGCAACACATTGGAAGCATTTTTATGTCGATCAGTACAGATGCTTTACAATGGAAGATAACTAATTAGGTTAACTTCTAGCTCTGACCTTGCCGATCCTCGTTTCAGTTTTCTTTTGGGATACTGTTTCCCCGCTTAAGTAAGCAATTTCAAAATGGCATCTTATTTTCAAGGGACTTTCCCACGGCCAGATTAAAGTCTCCCTTTCTCGCATGTTGACAACTTGTTTGATTAAAAAAAAGCAACAGTTTTTCTATTTTTAAATTTTGGTTTGATAAATGCGAGTTATAAAAAGTATAGCCTCGCCGCAACAAATTACCAAAATACACAGAACATGATGCACCTATGATTTTATCCTAAATTTTCAAGGAACTTGCCCGTGAGAATTTTAGAAAAATGCCTCTAAATAAAGTCAAACTCTTGATCTAAATAACTTTTTTCCAGCAGTTGCCGTGCAGAGGGAAATATCCCATATTCAGTGTCGTCACACTTTCATTTTCCAGTCACAAATGTTTCTGTTTCTTAACTGAGATCACCTTACAACTGCCCAAGAGTATATAGCAAGGAGTCTAGTCAGCTCCCTTATTCAAATTTGCACAAGGATGACTTTTGAGTGTCCGTGACTGTTAAAAGAATAGACCTCAGTTTTTCAACTGCAGAGACACGCTCCTCTTTTACATTGGACAACAACTGAAAACTCAGTGTTTCGTAAAGTAAGTATTCGATTTAAATTACAAGAAAGAGATTTAAGGTCGTTAGAATGATATCTGTGACGCACTTACTGCTGGCTCTGAACAAGCGGAGAGGCAGGTTTTCTCTTCAAGTGTGCTTGATATGCTCACAAATCCTTATAATTTTATCTGACAATGCTCAAAATGTTATATCAAATATTTGCAGCCCCAAATATCTCAAATATAACTGAGGCCCAGGTGCGTGCAATTTTTTGTTTTTGGTAATCAACCCTGCCCGTTGAGAACATCGTATGGGTATTCGGAGGACATAAAAATAGTTACAAGGGTTTATCGGACTTTTCCTTCAAATCTGATTGAAAATTTGTATTTTTTTCTCTTTACTTACAGGCTTCGCACCCATGGTGGACTTAAATTCCAGCCAACTACAGAATTCCTCGCTTTCAAATAATGAAGTGGATGGAGAACCTGGTACC